TAAGCAAACGCACAAACTCCCTGAGCGGTCCCTTGGACCACTGTGAGCGACATCAGACGTGTGCACTGTGGTCACGCCGGCATCTAATCCATCCAAGTTACATGGTTTATTAAAATAATCAAATTACAGCATTTATGTTAGACTATTTTTAATTAACTGCTTTAGCCCACTTACAATGAAATTTTTTAAAAAGAAATCTTGTTCATGATCTGTGTAGTATGTTAAAACCATTGGAAGTAAAAATAACTTGAACTCCAATTTTGAAAACACAACTTTCTAAAAAATTTTTTTTATAAAGCTCTGACTTGTATTATGAGTCTGAGTCTGTGGTCTGGGAGAGAGTCCTGTAACTCTGTCTGCAAAATACAGTATATAAAGACCAATGTTGGGCAATTAATTATATAGTTACTTCTTCAAAAAAGTAACTGAGTTATGCAAACAACAACATTTTTTGCAGCTGTTTACCTAAAAATGCAGCCAAGGCGTTTTTTTAAATGAACATTTCAAGCTATTTACAGAACAATCAGCTGTTCTGCATCAAATTTGATGCCACACAAATTATTTGTGCCACTCCAAGACATAATTTCTGTCCACTATTAGATAAAGGAGCCTGATTCCTGCAGGCCTGACAACAGGAGATGTATCACTCCTGTAACACCTGTAACATTCAGCAGTCGCCTCATTGTTCTGACACACACAACAAAACTACACTACACACTAACTACACAAGATTTGCGCTAAACGTCGCAAATCTCTCACATCTCAAAACACCGCCGTCACTCCTAAAACTTCCCCCTTCCTAAATAACTGTTGCCATATCATTTTTTGATTGGTCGACATGGTACATTTTTCCACCAATAGGAAAGGATGGGGTTTTTTCGTTTTCCTTATAAAACGCTGTTTTTACCGTTTCTTCCCGCAGTAAATATAAACAACGATAGTATTCAGGAAGAAAACCAAACATTGCATATTTTTTTTAAATCACTCTGGTTTTACGTGGCCCATCAACACGATTTAAAAACTGGTATAAAGTCCACACTTTTTCTGTCAGTTGTTCTGTCTGTCCTGCTCACATCTCCAATGGTTGTCCACGTTGTCATTAACTTGGCTTCACTCCACATGAGCCACGCGGCTTTGTTAGCTAAAACACCGGTGTCGGCACATAAGGACGCTGTCATAGCCTGTCAATAACGTTGATTAGCTACGTATATATGAATGTGAATCGCATTATTGGCTGGACTATGGGATAAGGTGGCATCGTTCGGCGCAGCCAGTCACTCACTGACTAACACTGCAAAACAGAATTGTTAAAGTATTAATTTTAATTTCAATTCAGGTCAGATTTTTTTTCCGTGCGCAACGCAGATTTACTGTGCGCAGAGACCGTGCCAGCAGTGCGCAATTGCGCACGCGTGCAGCTTAGAGGGAACATTGGTCAGTAGTCCTGTGAACTTTTGACTTGCAGTACGAGTAGTGCCGTATGCTTAGTAATGTAATTTAAAAATTAAAAAAAAAGATCAAAATGAGCTGCTGCAGACGCCTGTTCAGCTTCAACTCTGTGGGGGGGGGGGCGCAGAGAGAGCACACTGTATTGCAAATTTTTGCATAAAAGACAGAAACGCGTTCCCAAATTACAGTATTATATTGCATTATAGAGGATAGAGGCACCCACTCTCTTTTGGCTTGTGTGCGCAACAACATTTTTTCAGCTCATGTAAAAGTTCTTTGAATTGTGTCCCCTGTAAGGCTGCTGATAAGCATCATACTAAAGGCTTTCTTTAATTAAGCTACTTAAGAAATGAATCGACTGTTTGTTTATTTCAGGTGTGGAGTGGGTGGACATTGAACACAGGAAGATTGTGGGAGTGATCGACAGTTTATCCTGGACGTTTGGAAATACAGTGTTTTCACTTATTGCCTATTTTGTGAATGATTGGAGGAGGCTGATAATCAGTGTTACATTACCTTTAATCTTGGCCATCTTCACTTGGAGGTATGACTAAGGCATGTTATCAAACAGAGGCTCATTTCAGTACACTTTAATCGCTTTCACCTGGAAGTCTGACTGGTTAACATCCAGCATCGATCTAGTCATGCATGAGTTGAAGGACAAACACAGATTAAAAATATTTTGCGCACCGATTTAATAACATAATACTAATGTTGTAATAGTAAAATTTTAAGCACCCCAATTTCTGCCTTTTACAACAAAGCTTAATTTAGAAAATTTAAGCATTAAAATAATTTGATGATTCCTCCGTAACTAAACACTAGCTTGCCACTGCATATTTGAAACAAAAATGGCATGCATATCCTTGCTTGTCCTTGTCTTGATAGATTAGTTATGAAATTAGTTATGAAATTTTAACAAAACTCTGGGATTGTGGCCTTCGAGGGAAGTGATTTTGGGTAAGTGTAGACACTTGATCTTGAAGGAAGAATAATTAACTGAATATAAAGACTACGCATCTGATGCTTTACAAAACTTGGGACTCAAGGATAAACTGAATAGATCTTGGTGGTCAAAGGTCAAGCTCCCTGAAACCTCACAAGTGAAGTTTTGAACTCCTGAAAACTGACAAAACTTGACAAAAATTTAAAATGAAGCAGTGTGATGACCACAGGGACAGTGAACTGATAACTTTTAGCTGAACCATAATTCTTTATAGTCTGTGACATTTAGATTCTGAATGTATGGTTTCTTCTTATTATCATCCATGTTATCAGACATGTCCAACCATCGTCTGTTGTCATGGCTTCTGCAATCTGTTTTATTAAAACCAGCTCCATTGGTCAACTATTAGCTCAAAATCTTCTATCAAGTCTTCACTATGTCTCTCAATCTGAACAGATATTTGAGATTTGTTTTTATTTTAAATGCTGCATTGCAATAGGCCTACATATGGGTTAAAAATGATAATAATAATAATAATTCCCCCCTAACATTAGGTGGATGCCAGAGTCAGCTAGGTGGCTGATTGCCAATGGAAAGCTGGAGCAAGCTCAGATATATCTGAAAAACTGTGCCAACATGAATCGGACAGAAGAGTCGATCCACACACTGGAAATAGAGGTTTGTAAGCTCCAGATGGTTAAGTCAAGGGAGCCAAGTAGAGTCCATTATGGTGTTATTATAGGCACTAATTACACACAAAGAAGGTGAACAAAGGCACTAAAGAATACAGTGTATTCTTATTTAAATGTAATCGTAGGTTTTGTTCTGATCTTCACAGCATTGTTGCAAATGGAAGCTTGCCCTCAAATGGCTTTGAATTCTTTCAGACACTATCCACCATTGTTACGACGGAGAAACGAGATCGAACTTACTCTTACCTCGACCTGATTCGGACACCTGAGATGAGGAAACTGGCCCTGCGTACTGGTATATTATGGTCTGCATTCCCAGGGCTTTACAGTGTATTGAATCTTGGGTATAAATTGTAAACCAACAGATTGTTCACTAACGAGCCGCTTCCTTCTCCGTCCCTAGGTTTTGCGTTGCAACTACATTTTATGGCATCAGCTTCAAGATCACAGGTTTCGGGCTCAACATCTATCTCACTCAGTTTACCTATGCATTAATTGAACTTCCTGCCAAGCTGGCAGTCCTCTACTTACTGGAAAAGATAGGCAGGCGACACACTATGGTGGGAACTTTGCTGATGGCTGCCATTTGTCTTGGAATCAATATTGTGATACCAAAAGGTAGGCACTTCTTGATCACAGGCTTGATCTAAGATTTGGGTTGTTTTAAAAAAAATCTTTTTCAAGAAGAGACTGCTGTCACTACCAACTTAGGGAATGGTGGTAATGTTGTATGTTTTACAGCTTTGAAATAAACTACAATGTGATAAATCGAAAGAAAATGGAAAATCAAAAAGAAATGAGGGATCACTCAATATTGTTGCACAGTATTTTAAATCTTTTTGTTCCTTTTTGTACCGTTTGCACCGTTACGCTAACACACCATCTTCGTTTGTGTTCAAATTTGGCGGTAATCGTGATTCTGATGCTCTTTGTAGAAATGTCAGTCGCCACGACTGTGGTAGCCATCATTGGAAAAGGGTTTTCTTCAGCATCCTTTGCCACTCTAGTGCTATATAGCTCTGAGCTGTACCCGACTGTAGTAAGGTAACTCTACACGCCTAATTCCAATCTTCTGCTTTTGAATAAACTCTTCAGGACATCGCTTTTTCTGCAAGATCCTCTGATTAAGACTAATATGTTTATGTTTTCAGGCAGAATGGTATGGGTTACAACTCGTTCATGGCTCGGTTTGGCGTAGCTGTGGCTCCTATGATCCTCTTACTGGATGAGGTCTGGACGGAGCTGCCACAGGTCATCTTTTGCTTTGTGGCTGTACTCGGGGGAATAGTAGCAAGGACCCTTTCAGAGACCCGCAACAGGTGCCTGCCAGAGACCATAGAAGACATTGAACAGAAGCAGTAGTAAAGAATCTCTGACATGAACTCGTTCGGCCCGTCAGATATTCTACAGCCAAAGTGCAGTCTATTCTGTGAACTCAAGTGCAGTTTACTCTAGAAACTGCATAACTTTAAAGGATTTCAAATAACCAAATCAAATAATTACACTACCACTACTACTACGATTGCATAAAGCAGCAGTTTCATTAAAATGCGCACAACTTTTACATTTTTCTGTTTTAGTCCTACTAATGTCTACTTTGAGAACCATTTCCAGGTGAGAAATTATTGTTAGTGTTATATTTCCAATAAACTGAGTTTCATTAAATCTGTTACATTTTACTTTCCTTTTGTTCCTAAAAAATATATTGTGGCTGAGTCGAAGTCCAAACCGTTTATTGGATTTTCCCAGAATTTCTAAAGTCATGTTATGCATAAACATAACGCTGCACTGAAGTAGATCATTCTTTTTTAAACAGCAGGTGTTCAAGTACTGATTCACTTTACCCAAGCTTCATTTCCATATTTAGTCAACCAAAAGCATCTAGACAAAAGCACAAAAACCACTGATCAAACTGTCTTTCGGATAACTGACTTTACTAATTAATTTATACAGAGAAATGAAGTCAAAGCTCATTGTTTTAAAGAAACAAAGCAAGCACAAATGTTTATGACTCAGCAGTTTCCTAAACAAAATTCAACCACATCTAAATAACACATTTGTTATTCCGTTTCAGTAATTACGACCGGGTCTAACCACTGTTGTTGACATTTTATCTGACGGTACACGTAGTTACAGAATTAACATTGATGGGGGGGGGCAAAGAAAATATTTTTAAAAAATAATCAAAAAGTCAAATTTGAAACATTAAGATACAATGAGAGAAAGATCTAAAACTAAAGTAAGCAGTTGTTTTTCCAGGACACTTGTTGGCTGTTGTTCAGTACTGGGAATACTCTTTGCTCTCTAGTTTGGCAATGATTCGCTCCAGCTGTCGCTTAGCTTCACATTGTGGGAAGTTACTCATTTCGTAGTACTGAGGTGCAATCTTCACCAGCCTGTAACAGAGACAGGAGAACATGGATGACCCCGTCATTCAGCTAACGCAACACATGTTAAAATAACAGCTTTTAGTGAGATCTTATTGTCTGTACACGTACCACTCTGGCTTGATGTCTGTGCATGTGCGGATGTAGTTCTTGGTGGTGAGGACAAACTCGTTGTAGAGCACCCACTCTGGTTTGTGGTCTAGGACTGTAGATGGGTGCAGCTGGACCACTTGGTTGTCTTTCACTGTGAGGTAATGGCCTGTGCGCTCCAAATGAGCCACCTGCAGGGAGGTCCAAAAGAATAATTTAAAAAGGATAACAATAAAATCCTTTTCAGTTAATCCTTTTCAACACTAAGCCCACTAACAGGCTGATAGCAGACTTCAGTTTACTGCCAGAGAGGAACACTGACCACATTATCTGTTTTACCTGGGCTGAAAAGATAAATCAATCATTAGAAAATTGGGGTAACAGAATAATTTAGATCCATTCAAAATCAAAAGCAGCTTTCCTAATATACACGTTTTTCGCTGTCCTGTGTCTCAGTTTATGGCTGCAAAGGTTTTAACAAAACTCATGTGCGTTTGATTCCAAACTGAACAACAGACTGTCCTCAAAGCATCCCAAAGCTCCTTCTTCTTCCTCCTCCTCCAAATCTATTATGTCTGCTCACCTGCATGAAGAAGCCGGTGCAGAGCGCCCGTCGGATGTTGATGTAGTAATCTCTGCTTGTGAACTCCGTGCTCCGACGAGGCAAGTTGAAGCGGTCCATGATCCTGGACAGCTGCTGCCGCACATTGTCGGCAGACATCAGCGAGCGGTAATTGACAAAGTTGTCATAGCACCACTGGTTAGACTCATGGTCTGGAAAAAGGCATGAGAGACATTCAAGTCTAAGGTGCTAACTAGATCATCAAAATTGAACTAATCCCCAAATGAGTTGTTAATAAAAAAATAGATCATGACTCTTTATCTTTAAAATATGTCAGATGAAACATGTTTTCAAGCATAAATGTCTACAAATCATGTACTGAATTAGTCATTTTAAACCAAAATGATGCATGAGGACACAAAAACGCATATTCCTGTCACCTCAGTAGCCCTCAATAGATTATACATTTGAGTCTTGTCACACAACACCTCAAACCTCTCTGTTGCATACTAGCCTGTATGTAACAGAGAGGTTCATCTGTTTCCAGGAACATTCACAGTCAGATCCCTGAAGCATTGGAATAAACTGCCTGAGGAAATCTGGTCAGCAGAGTCAGTGCTGTCTTTGAAATCTCTGCTCAGGCTGGTTATCCAGAAGCCACCTGTGACTGTTTTAACAACTCTCATTGTATTCATCTACTGTATTTTTCTGTACGAATGCTCACATATCATATAACATTCAACCACTCTACTGCTCCATTATAAACACATCTTTCTTCAGCACGTTTTCTTTAGCTTTAAAAGCTCATATGTTGCACTTTCATCTTATTCTGCTGACCATAAAGTGTGTGTAAAAAAGAAAAAACAAAAAAACAAATTAATGCAGGTTTAACTTCATCATGCAGAAATCCAAATGAAACGTGGACTGATGCTCACTTTGTTTGAAGGCGTGATAGACGTTGAGCAGCGTCAAGTGGTCTCCATCAATGTGAGCAAACCTCATCTTGGACTCGTCTGCTGCCTTCTTAGCCTCCGTAGGACGGACAAAACACTGTGGGACTAAACAAGGTTGGTATGGGCCCCAACAAAGCCGCCCATAGGGATGAGTCAAACATTCACAGAAAAATGCAGCAAAGCCTATGATGCTAGGGCACTCGACACTGCTTGGGACAGGGCAGGACCACAAGCTCTATAAGAGGGAGCTGCAGTCTGTTCTCATGGTCATTCCCAACTGTAATGGTTACTAGCTCGTAGAGAGGGGTCATTTAACCACATCTGTAAAACAAGAGTTTTCACACAGCTGCAGAGTGTTAGGGACACCAACAAAGTTGAACCTTTCCAAAACTCACAGATCTTACTTTAGCTACATGAGTGTTAGGCCTTTTAGTAAGTGGAAGACTGAAACACATCTGAGCTACATGTTACTCTACAGTGCAACATTAATTTTTAAAGTGTTACTTCAAAAAAGAAAATTCAATAAATATGAAAAACGTCCAAGTGGTGCCTGCCCTATCCACTTTCTTTAATGATGAAGCACTCGTGAAAAACTCGCTTTCTATTAACAAAAATGCAAGAAAAAAAAAACCCCAAACAAAAACCTGAGATTTAAAGTTAAGACTTAATATATGAAGTCGTATTGACCTACATGCCTGTGGCAAAAAGACAAAACAGAAATATGAGTATTTTATTGTCTTTTTCCAACTGATTCATTATTTCCTTATTTGTACT